CTGTTCAATAATGTCAGAGCTCGTCTCACACCTTTCTATTTTGTCCTAATACCATCGCCTTACTGGGGTGGTATTCACAGGACAACCCTTAACAGACTGAAATATTATTTGTTAAAATATTAATATTAAATAATATTCTCAGATTCATAATTACAACACCAGGTACATTCATCACTTTCTATGCTTTTGCAGGCTATTCTATTCATCCTATGGCTTGTTAAACTCTGTCAATCTCCTTTCACTCCTTCAGGCTCAGATCATTCTTTCTCATGCCTTGTCAGGCTCTCAACATCTTTCCATTCAGTCAGTTTGATCCCCCCTCTTATTCTGATCTCGTCGCATCTACCATTCACTTATCAATCTCACATCTTTCCTGCTAACCAACATTCCGTTTATATTCAGCCTCAGCCCCCCATTTTTGGGGAGAAGACTTCTCGAATTCTAACCCTAAGATGTTTATTCAAGCTCATGTCATTATCAGCATCCATGTCTTCCACCGTGGTCCGAGCGCCAAAAGAAATCAAAAATCACCTAATAAACTCCTAATTGCCATCTCTGTGTTTCTCTCATTTGAGTCTTTCCAGGTTGAAATAATATTAAGATGGAAATTCCTGCTGTTTTCATGTAGGCATCACCATCAATAGGCTAATAGTAAGTCTGTTTCTGAGCAATGTCCAAATAATAAACTTGATGAAAATTATTTCTAATGAGTACTATTTGTTTACATTGTATGTAAACCTTTGACTTGTTCCTGCATATTAAACGGCCATTATGTTATTTTTTATAAATAGGAAAGTGAGTAACTATTACTTTTTTAAATAACTTAATCCATCTATAAAACTGCAAAAACGTTAATAACATACTATGTATTTTTACATTTGTTTGTTCAGCCATCAATGACAACCAATAAATCTTAAAATATTTTACGCAAATTATGTCCGTGCAGTCTAGGGCTGCCAAGCAGGACAAATTTATGTTCTGGGAATAAATTAATACATTATTTACTTTGCTTAGCTTATGTGATCCTATTGAAAGGGAAGCTAGCAAGAAGAAGCATTAAAATCACTGTTTCATGCTGATAACATCTAACAAGGCTCATGAGTCACGGTAAAAATAAATAGGTAATAAATATTCAGAATATAGCATAACTGTGTGTACATGTGTTTTTGACTCGTACATGTGTATGTCTGCGTGTTTCTGTTTCTTCCCATTGACCATTCAATTCCTGATGTGCAACTGGCAGCATTTTTAAGGTTTAGGGTAACTGTTTATTACAAGTGAGTGGGTGGGTGGCGCAGAAGTCAGTGGAGGATTGAACAAAGAATACGAAAAAAGCAAGAGGTAATCAGATGGGCCAGGAGATGGACTGATAAATGGCAGATTGCACTGACCTTGGACTGGAAAAGAGAGGAATGGCAGACAGGATGACAGTTTAATCTCTTTTGAGAACAAATCGGTGATACTATGATTGGATGGATCATGGAGATCTGAGGAAAGAAGAAGCAGAGGAGGAGATCGAAGTGGTAGACAGAACACTGACAGCTATGTTACCAGAAAAATAAAATAATATCAACATTGACAAGGAACTGTGCATGAATACATATAGAAAAAATCAAATAACTATGCAAGTTTAGCAAAAATAGAAAATTGGTTGATAAAGTGAAAATTTCACATAGATTAGAGAAATAATGATAATGTAAAAATATAAAGATGTCTTGTGATGCTTCATCGCTGCTGGAGTATATGTGAAAAAGAAGGGTTGTAACAACTGGAAAAATAGCCTAAAAAAGGTTACAAAATTTGCACCAGGTTGTCAATAACAACCTAGGTAATCCACACATACTGAAAAAAAATCAAAGGACAGTAGTCCACAATGAAGTTACAGATCGAAGTTACAATTGGAATGACAAAGTCAATAAGCATTGATCACATGAAGAAAAGAATGTGCAAAAAGGCACAGAAAGCCAAAAAAAAACATCTGAAATCTGTCACTATTCAGAAAGCATTTCTGCTGCTATCTGCAAATCAGTATCAGCTGGTTTGATATATACTGGTGGCCTATGAAAATATTTCTGACTATGAAAGCATTGCAAATAGTGCTACGGTTGGTATAAGCAAAAAGACCTTCACAAAAAGACTTACTGTTAAAAAACATAGTAATGGCAATGATTAAAGGTGCAATTCTAAACATCTGAATTTCCCAGGTAGCACTTTTGGAGCCATAATTTAGAAGTGGAGAGAAAATCATTTTACCATAAACCAGCAATGGCCAGGTACCCCTTTTAAAATTTATTTCAGAAGAATCAGAAGAATAATCAAGAGTTGTCCAAATGCTAAGAAGTATTCAGAGAGAGGTTCAGTAAGACCTGGAAAAAGAGGATACAGTTTTTCCTATGAAAACAATAAGTAATGCTCTGAAGTGCAATGGTCTCTGCACACCCACTGCACAAGGCTCCACTGCTGAAGAAAATGTATGTTGAAGCTTGTTTAAAGTTTTCATGGTTCGAGAAAGAATGGTTCTGCGGATGATCAAACATAATGATAAAAATTTGCAGGTTGTAATGTCATGGTGTAGGCTGTGTTACAGCATATGGTATTGGCAGACATCACACTGTATATTTGAAGAAACGATTCATGGAGAAAAGTGTCATGACATTCTTGATAAGAATCTAAAGAAGTGTGAATTTCCAAACAAGATAGAATTTTCAAATACACTGCAAAGGAAACTCAGCTGGTTTCAAATAAAGAAAATAAAACTGCTAGAAATCAGCTGACTTGTATCAAATTAAAAATCTAAAGAAAGACCTCAGGATCAGGGTGCATTGAAAAATTCTGTAAAAGAATGGGTACACCTGAGCACAAAATGTGACTAGTTTCTCCATACAGGAGAAGTTATCATTACTAAGAAAGGCCTTTCCACAAAGTATTTAATACATTTCTGTAAGTGAGATAAATATGTATTCCCTGTATTATTCCAGTTTTATTTTTTCTCATAACTTAATCCACAAACTAATTTACTTTGATTTTGTTGCATGTGTAGATTACTTGGATTGTTGTCAGCACCTGGTGTGAGTTTTATGTCAATGACTCTATTAGAAATACACTGCCTGTCCAAAATGAAAGTCGCCACCACGGAGGTGTTGTGTTCTGGAAGCCCAAATATTTTTAGGCTTCAGCTCATCTGCATTGTTAGGTCTGGTGTGTCTTATCTTCCTCTTGACAATACTTAATAGTTCCTCTAAGGGATTTAGGTCAGGTGAGCTTGATGACCAGTGATACTGGTTGATTGTCAGTAGACTAGGTATGCAATTCATACTTTTGGCAGTGTGGAGAGCTGTAAATTGCAATCAGCCACTAAAGCTAAAATAGATGGCTGTGGTTGCTTTGAACTTGATAAAACATAGTGGACCAACAGAAGCAAATGACATGGCTCCCCAAATCATCACTGACTCTGGCAACAGACCTCAAGCTTCTTGGAGTCTATGTCTCTTAACTGTTCCTCAGACGATGTCAATTTGAAAAATTGGTAATTCACTTTCATCTAAACATTTTATTTTAGATCAATAAGTCTGTTTTTGTTCTTTGTCTAGGTAAGACATTTCTGATGTTTTTTTCTTCAGGAATGGCATAACAGGGCTGCATGGTGGTGCAGTTGGTAGCACTGTTTCCTTGCAGCAAAAAGGTCCTGGGTTCGACTCCCAGCTGGGGGTCTTTCTGCATGGAGTTTGCGTGTTCTCCCCGTGCATGCGTGGAATCTCTAGGGGTAATCTGGCTTCTTCCCACAGTCCAAAAACATGACTGTGGGGTTAACTGAGCTCTCTAAATTGTCCTTAGGTACGAATGGGTGTTTGTATGGATGTGTGTCTTTGTGTCACCCTGCGATGGACTGGCAACCTGTCCACAGTGGACACCGCCCCTCGCCTGTAGACTGCTGGAGATAGGCACCAGCTCCCCTGCAACCCTGTACGGAAGAAGCTAGAGAGAGGGACGTCTGGGTGTCTCTGCTGAGTCTGCTGCCCTCGGGACGGATGGATGGATGGAATGAAGGTATGGGTTTAGCCGATGTCCTGAATATTTAGTTGTGTGGGGTGGCTTACACCCCAAATTCTTCACAATCATCTTAAGGTTGTGGTTATTCCTGCACCTCCTGCACCTTTTTCTATCAAACTTTTTCTTTCCACTCAAGTTTCCATAATTTACTAATTGTCAGTTTTCATTAGCTGTAAACCACAGTCATTAAAATAAACAGAAATGAAAACAAATAAAGTACATAAAGGGCAACAAATTTACAAAATAAAATGTGTTTTAATTTTTAAATTGAATTACTGAGATAAATTACCTTTTCAATGTTATTCTGTTTTTTTGGGATGTGTCTGTATTGAGGTACACTTTTGCTGCCATTAGTACATGTGCAGTTTGTGATACATAGAAAAGCTTTTCCATATTTTTTTATACTCTCATAGTCATTTGGTATGCATGCACACACATCGGCACATATCAAAAGGAACTGCAATAGTTTTATCCCTAGATACTCTACTCCTTTTGAACTTCAGTTCTTAAGAAAAAAGATAACCTTACAGTGGGAGCCATGTGCAGTGAAGGTCATTTTACATTTTAGGTCGACAGTATCTTTAACAAATTCTATAGACAAATACTAACACATTCATTATTCATTCATTCATTCATTCATTCATTCATTCGTTCATTCGTTCATTCATTCATCCATTATTACACTGATTCTACAAATATAATTAAAATATGTGGTAGTTTGTTATATTCAAGATTTTTCTCTGTTACACACGTTTTTTTTTTTTTTTTTTGTTGTTGTATGTTAACATGCCTTTATAAAGGCTTGTGTGAATTTGTATACAAATGCATCTGTGTGTCATTGTATAGTGGTGTAGGGGGCTTTATTTATTTATTAAAACACAGACTGTGAATATTTTACTTTCTGAGAAGAATTTTCAAAGAAAGACATAAATATTTAATTTAATTCAGGTAGCAATACTGCTATGAAAAAACATGCACTTATTGCTTCAGTAGAAGAGTACTTTCCTCTACTGATGAAGATGAAGATGTTTCAGATGCAGCCAGTCTCAAATTCTAACAGATTTCAAAATGTTGCTGGTCCTAAATACAAGTCTTTAACTTTACATTTTAAAAGCCATCTTCCCTACATTAAAGTAAATACTAGTGATCAAATAATAAAATGAAGTCTCACAAGCATTCTGTGTACTTCAGAAAAATCCTATTCAACAAATAATGCAAATAATGCTTTAAGCTCTAAAGTTAATTAAGCCATTATATTTATCAGAAACAAAATACTCAGAAGCAGAATCCAACTTGGTCAGTTCAGAGTAAAATTAGATGTCATGCTCATAAAAAAAAATCTCTTCTTTTGCTGCTAAGAGAAAAAGGAAAATAATTCAGTACACAAAACCCTCTCTCACTTCAGAAGAATATTTAATTTTGACTCCATAAACCATGATGCAGGGTGTAGTTTTGTTTGTTTGTTGTTATTTTTTTGTTTTGGTTTTAGATAAAGAAAAGGAGAATCTTGATTGATATATGGAAGATGACAGACAACCTGTTATGTAGGGGAAGCTGCACGGCAAACTGCTGAGGAAGCACTGAGCTGACTGAGCTGAATGAGTGAGAATGCATGAAATAATGTGTGAGACGGAATAGCAGAGCTGTTAGCTGGGCCTGGCTTACAGCTGACCTGCATGTAACTTGTATACTAAAGGTACATTTCGGTGAGGCTTGTTTGTCAGATTTAAAGTATCTTTTGAAATAGCAACCCTTAAGCTGGTATTAGACAGACTTTTCATTAAGCCTGCATTTCTGTATCAAAAATCTGTTTTTATTGCTATGATATATTCTAATCCTCTAAGAAATTAACTGTTGTGTTTTCATTAGCTTAAAAGTAAAGTCATCATAATTTACAGAAAGAACGGCTTAAGGCCTGTGTTTAAATAATCTGACTGTTTCAGTTAGTGATTTGAGTTACTGAAAAATCTGAACCTTTCAATAATAATGGAATTTAATGATATACATTGCATTTTTTTCTTGCAAGTATTCATCTCCTGTATAACAGGGTTAATTATTTCCCAAATGTTAGTACACCCGTACTATGTAAACGCACACGTAAAAGACTGCTATGATTTTGTCTTCGACTGGCTTCATCACAATGTTTCACACTCCAGGATGCACTAGCAGTCCTGGTAGCTACAATCCTTAGGTCAAAGTTTTAATGTTGTCAATATTTGAGCTAAAACCCAAAGCAGCAATTGAAGTGGTGGATACTTTAACCTTACATCACCCAATGCACCTAGTTAAAGTTGAGACTGAACATGAAGTTGATATGTGTATATA